TACTTTAGAATTTCCTAGTCTTTAATATTTGACTTTCAAAAAGGGGAAAAGAGGAAAATGAAGAGAGAAAAAGGGTACCTGTCCATTAAATCCCCTGGAAGCCACTTCATCTAGAGAAGGAGGGGATTGAAACAATTGGGGGAGGTGCACTAATGATGGCCAGCTACCTCTTTGTCAGCACTGATGTGTTTGGTACAATCAGTGATAAAAGCACAGATACCTGATAGTTATCTATCAAAAAGGAGAGGGTCCTTTTTGCCCACTTTGGCTCCGCCAAAAAACTGTGTGTAGTTTGTTTCAGGAACATGTGTATAGTTGCTTGCCATGGTGCTGGCAGCAGCTTATGGGAGCTACTATTGTTCTAAGGGCTGAAATTGGCTCAACTTAATGGCAAGTTACAGTTCAAGCCTTTCCTTTGAATTTACAGGTCTTCAATGGACTCCAGAGTTCCAAAATGGTTATATCATGGGTATTTTGAAGTTGCACTTGCTGTCTAGGTGGGGGACACAGATTTCTGGTGTTTCTACTCTGCTATCTTCCCAGGGTCCTTCTCTCCTTCATTTTTTAAGGTCAGTTTTTGCAAGATACAGTATTATTAGTTGGCAGTTTGTTTTTCTTTCCACACTTTCTGAAATATATCACCTGAATGTGTGTGTGTGTGTGTGTGTGTGTGTGTGTATGTGTGTGTGATCCTTGTCTTCTGGCCTATAAGTTTTCTGTTGAGAAATTAATTGATAATCTTAAAATACTTTTTCTTATTGTATGTGATGAGTTGCTTTTCTCCTCCTACTGTTAAAATTCTCTCTTTGTAATTTTTACAGTTTGATAATAATGTGTATTGGCAATTTGTTGAGATTCTTGAATTTCTCTTTACATTACTTTCCTCAGATTTGGGAATTTTTCACCTGTTCTTTTTTGAAATAATCTTTCTGCCCTTTTCTCTATTCTTCTGGGACTTCCACATTGTTTTTGATGGTCTCTCATGAGTCCCTTAGGCTCTTTTTGATTTTCTTCATACTTTCTTCTTTTTGCCTTTCTGACTCATTTTCTCCATGTTCACGGATTCTTTCTTCTGTTTAATCAAGTCTCTTGTTTAATACCTTTAGGAAATTTTCAATCTGGTTATTGTATTCTTTAGCTCCAGAATTTGTTAAGTTCTTTTCTTTTCATTTTGAGAGAGAGAGAGAGAGAAATTGAGGGAGAGAGGCATAGAGAGGGAGGGAGAGAGAGAGAGAGAGAGAGAGAGAGAAGAGAGAGAAGAGAGAGAGAGAGAGAGAGAGAGAGAGAGAGAATGTCCTGCGAAGTCTCCATAGTCAGCATGGAGCCTGACATGGGACTTGGTCCCATGACCCTGGGATCATAACCTGAGCCAAAATCAAGAGTTGGATGCTTACCTGACTGAGCCACCCAGGTGCCCCAAGTTCTTCTTCTTTTTTTTTTTGTAGTTCCTGTCTCTTTGTTGATATTCTTATTTTATTCATGCATTATTTTCCTGATTTTATTTAGTTAGCTTCCTCTGTTCTTTTTTTTTTTAACCTTATTGAGCATATTCAAGATGATTATTTTGGATCTTTGTCAAATAGTTCATAGATATCTGTTTATTTAGGACTTATTTCTGGAGATATATTTTGTTTTTTTTGATTGGCTATGTTTCTCTGTTTCTTTTTATGCCTTATGACCTCATGTTGTGATTTGGGCATTTGAAAAAAAATAGTCACTTTTTCCAGTCTTTACATATTTGCTTTGTATAAGGGAAGACCACTGTCAATCAGCCTAGCTAGAAACTCTGAGGACCTCTCAAGCCTTTTTGGGGTGTGACTTCTTTGATCTTCTTGTATACTTTCTCAGTTAAGTTTTTTTTTTCTTTATTAAGAACTTGTAATCTCTTGCTCACGTTGGTATCTTTCATATTGTAGTCTCTCTGGTGCTGTGGTGAACTGTGGCATGTACCTTTTTCATTAGTGCTCTAGTCTGGGGAGTCAGAAACCATTTACTTTCTAATTTCCTGTTTTATTGGGCATTTTTGGGGTTCCTGAGTGGGTCAGTTGGTTTAGTGTCTGACTTCAGCTTAGGTCATGATCTCATGGTTCATGAGTTTGAGCTCCACATTGGGCTCACTGCTGTCAGCCTGTCAGTGCAGACCCTGCTTTGGATCTTCTGTCCCTCCTCTCTCTCTTCCTGTCCCCCGCCTACACTCTCTATCTCAAAAATAAATAAAACATTAAAAAAAGAAAATAGTAAGGAAAATCAAAGTGCATGTATAGAGATGCAAGAAGTAAAATAGTGCAAAAAATCAGCATTATGATTCTATATAAAACATTAAAAAGAACATATATTCTTAGCAATGCTAGAGACAATTTGGTGTGAATGAACCATAATGTTACTTGGCTCCTGTCTATTAGTAAAATATCAATAGAAATATAATTTTAAAAATAAATATATTTCATACCAAATCAAGCTTTCTTAATTTTCTTGATTCAAATCTAGACTTCTTCCATAGGAGTTAAAGGTTATTGCTCACATATGATAAAACATAGAATGTGTGCTCTGTATTTGATAGATTCTATGTATCAGAAGGATTACAAAGACTAAATACATTATTGCAATTTTCTGCTAAAATGGAAACAATTTTGACTAGATCTAGAATATAATATGCTAATCAATGGTTTTGAAAGACTGAAGGGGAGAGGAAGGTAAGAGGTAGCAACTTGAGTGCAAGGTCAAAAGTCCAAGAGCCATGGGCTGAGCACATACCCCCTTCCTCTGAGTTATCTTTGTGAGGCAGCAGGGTAGAGCATGGATTTTGGTGTCTTGGGGGTAGTGGTGGTATGTGGGGGAGAACTGAACATAGTCACAGAAAGCACTGCATTCAGATAAGAGCCTGCAGGTATTGTAACCAATTTCAGGGAGAACTTTAGAGATATAAAGGTATAAAAAAACAGATTTCAGACTGGGCAGATGCTAGGGGTGCCAAGTGGGAAGCTATTGTTGGCTTAGGACTCTGTCTACTTCAGAGCATGTGGACAGTGGGAATATTTTAGATATTCAATAGACTATTGTTAAGCTTCACTTGATCATGGTGGGGAATGGCTGACATCTTGACAGTCTGGTTATTTTTAGGTCTGGGTCTGGGTTGGGCATCCTTTAGTTAGCAGTGATCATTATGAACCTGTGATGGGACTGTGGTAAGAACAGGAAGGGAGAGACTCTATTTTGAACAGTTAAAAATGCGGGTTTTGGAACCATTGGAGCTGTGTTTGAAAGTAAATTCCAACATTTCTTATTTGAGTAACTTAACTAATATCTCTGAATTTTAGGTTTAGTTTTCTCTGTGGGATAATACTGCCACATTCAAAGGATTGTTATAAAAATAAAATGTCTTATCCAATACAACTTTTCTGGATGATAGAAATATTTTCTAATGTCCAAGTAATAGCTACTAGGTATGTGTGGCTAGTGAGCATTTGAAACTTAACTGGTGGAAATGAGGAACTAGATTTTATCTATTTTTAATTAATTTAAATAGGCACTTGTAGCTAGTATATTGGACAGCAGTTAAAGATGATAACTTTTATAGGTACTACTTAAAATATAAATTTAGGTACTACTATCTAAAAAGTTAGCTGTTTTGAATTTCCTTGACAGACATATTCTTTCAGTTACTTATTTTCGTGCTTGTCCTATTTTGTTTGATGCAATGAAGTATATAGCAATGTTTCTATCTTGGAAAAAAAATAAATAAGTGAAAATTTTAATAAGCACAAGAAAGACAATATATACATATAAGAGATGTAATATACTTTAATCTTAATCACAAAAGAATTATACTAAGTGTAGAGAACTTCAGAAGAACAAATGATCTCTTCAGTTTTCAGTATTTGCAGAAGGAATGAACCACTTGCCCTGGTTATTGAAGCATGTTATATGTTTTGGATAGGTAGAATATGTTTTCAGATAGAGGCGTGGTGAAAATAAAACTAGTAGGGTAGGAACCTGTAAGATATCAGGGCTCAGTGAGTAGCTAATTTGCTGAAGTAAGGAGATGGTTTAGAAGATGAAATTAAGCTAGAAAAGTGGTTTGGAAGATGAGATTAACCATATCATATGTTTATAGCTGCCTATGAATTGATGGTTAAAAAGCATGGGATTTATCTTTCAGCCTCTGTAAATTCAGCGTCATTGAAGTATTATTTAGAGCTAAGGAAAAATACAATCACAATCCTGTTTTAGGAAAGTAACCCTAATAGATTTGCGAGGAAGAGAGAAATTAGTTAGGAAGCTTACACTAGTATGGGTAAAAGGTTTCTGAACCAGAAGGGTGGCTATAGAAATGAGACTTCATACAAGAAAAACTGAGATATTGTTGGTGGATTAGCATATGATTATGGATTCACTGGAAGGAGGCAAATCAAGATATGACTCCAAGACTGAATCATAGCACTGGCTGAGGTGAGAGAGAGAGAGAGTTAAGTATATAGGATGTGGTAATTGATAGGGATAGATGTATTATAGAAAGAACACTGAAGTGAATTGGAAAGTTTCATGGGGAAACAGAGTTACACGATGGTTACTTGGCTACCAATTACTTTCTGGGAGAAATAGTCACTATCTACATACTTTAGTGCTGTGTTGAGAAGTTAGTCTGAAAGAACACTTACTCTGAAAATTTTAGTGTTTTCTTATATAAGGAATGAAGAATTTTTAATGTTAACAAACACATGATCTGTAGAAAACTTAAACATAATGATAATTAGCAATGATGCCAGGATTTTAACCAGTGATGATTGAACCTCATTCCTTCCACACTGCCATTCTCCTCCCACTCTCCACCTTGTCCCCAATCTCTGTTAGCTTTATCCCCACTTTTTTACAGTGAACAAAAGCAAACACAATAAACAACTAGTCTGAGAACCTAATCCAATATTATGTGATCTGAGCAACAAAATTTAATTATTACCCAATAAATTAGGAATAAACTAAAAAAATTTTTGTTTTCTTTTTTATGAGAATTGGAAGTGGAAAGTTAGACTGGAATCAGCCATTTTCTTCTTGTAGTCTTCATCAAATCTCTCATTCTGAGCCACAGTAAAGTGATTTTTCCAGTCTCCAACTGTCCCTGAAACAGTCATGTGGGAGAGAGTCAATTTGTATTTCTCTATTTTCCTGTTTCTGTGTGAATATTTCTGTTCTACCTTCCTGGGAAGCAATATTGAACAAAACATTTCTGTTGCTAACCTGTCAATTTCATTCTGAAGGGAAGAAGAATTTCTTATCTGATCTGGTAACAGGAGAGCCCATTACCCACTGAGTCACATTAATGGGGGAAATGAAACTACAATAATTAAAACAGCAGGCATGGGGGGATTTCTTGTCTTTTTCTCCTGTCCTCTTTGCACGTCAAAGTGTGGTAGGTGCTTATGTCTATAGCTTTCATTGTATAGACCTACCAGGAAGGGCTTGTATGTGAGAGAATTCAAGGTATAGTTCTGAGGAAAAAAACAAAAAAAAAAATCCCCCAAATTCTCCAAATGCAACTCCTGTTACCTTTTCACAGATTGCCTTTTCCCCCTGTAGTGATTACCATCATCTATTATCCTGTGTATTCTTCTTGCTTATTTTATTTGTGGCTAGAATATAATGTTCATGAGGGGAGACAATTTTGTGGTTTTTTTCACTGCTCTAGACATTACCTAGAACAGTGCCAGACACATAGTAGCCACTCAGTAAGTATTTTGGAATGAATTAAATCTAACTGATAGCATAAAACCCTTGTAAATACATTATAAAATGGATTCTTTGCCTTATCTCATTTAATTCTGTGTGTTTTCACCTTATCAGTAAGATCTCTGAAGAGTTGGGGGGGGGAAAGGGGTGGGATTTAGACACCACACCTTACTCTTCAATTATCTGAACATTGTTTTCATTTCATTTGTGGTTTCCTAAGAATCCCAGAATCATTTGTTATAGAGCTTTTTTTTTCTCAGCCACAGGAAAGAAAATTCCCCCAAGGCTGTGAAAGGTTGCACAACACTTTTAAGATTATGATCAAAAGAAAATATAAAAACCTTTTCTCATGAATGGAGAAACAGAGTGGTTCATGATTTCAGTAGGAATTGATGAATAGTTTGCCATTGAATTCTGCTTCATAACATCAAATGAAGTGTGATGGAGAATTTTATCTAGAACTTCATGATCTAGGTTTTTTCCAATAAATTCTGCCAGCTTCTGAATTTCCTGCTTTGGATTCTATGATGAGAGTTGAAAGAAAAGTGAAGATTTGATATAAAACAATTGGTTTAATAAGAATACTGAAATGAATTAATAACAATAATCAGTAACATGCCATGAGATAAAATTAAAAAATCTTATATCACAAATGCTCAACTATCCATAAATGACTCATTTTAACATGATGGTCCATAATATTCTCTTTTTTATTAACTGGAATTATTAAGCTTTTCTTGCTCTAACATAGGAGCAAAAACTGAAGTGTTAGTGAAACATTCAGCGTACAGTGACATGCAGTGCAGGGAGAGCGTTTCACTAAGAGTTATGCCCAAGTGTCCCATGCAAGTCAGTTATCGCGGGGGGTGGGGATCTTGGTCAATTAAATATCCAACAAAGAGAGTCCATAGACTGGTGATAAGAGCAAAGGTATTGTGGAAGCATAGGGTAAGACAATTTAAGGAGGCTGTCTGCTGTTTCATTGATAGAAATGTCCCCAGGCCATTTCAGTGGTGGAAGTAAGTGGTGGCAGGAGAATGGGAGAGGACTATTTTGCACCCATGAAGTGCCCAAGAGACACCCATGACTAGTAACTCTACTACCCAGCATGTCCAGATGTTTATGTGCTCCTGAGAGTTCCAATGTTTCCTCATCAGAGGGACACACCACCCTAGGGAGCTGTGGCCGTGGGAAGTCCCTATCTCTAGGAGGAGTGGTAAGGGAAAGAAAGTAGAAAGGCACAGCCTGACATCTGTGTCTTCTGCTTTAAAAGCTTGGATGTCAAAAGTGCTTAATTAATTGGCTTCACATAGACTAGGAATCCCCAATGTTTATACCAGCACTATCAACAATAGCCAAATTATGGAAAGAGCCCAAGTGTCCATCGACTGATGAATGGATAAAGAAGATATGGAATATATATACAATGGAATACTACTCAGTAATCAAAAAGAATGAAATCTTGCCATTTGCAACAATGTGGATGGAACTAGAATGTATTATGCTAAGAGAATAAGTCAGAGAAAGATAAAAATCATATGATTTCACTCATGTGGAATTTAAGAAACAACAGATGAACATAGGGGAAGGGAAGGGAAAATGAGATAAAAACAGAGAGGGACGCAAACCATAAAAGACTCTTAAACACAGAGAACAAACTGAGGGTTGCTGATGCGGTGTTGGGTGGGGAGATGGACTAAATGTGTGATGGGCATTAAGGAGGGCACTTGTTGGTATGAGCACTGGGTGTTATATGTAAGTGATGAATCACTAAATTCTGTTCCTGAAACCATTATTAGTTTATGTTAACTAACTTGGATTTAAATAATATTTTTTAAAAAGAGGAAAAAAAAAAAAGAAAAGCTAAGAGAAATTACACCAGAAAAAAAAAAAAGAGTGCAGAGAATATTGAGCTTTGAGTGACTAGTTAGGGGACATTCCAGAACATGATCACAGAAATATTTAAAAGGGCTCTAGGGATTCTAAGGTTAGACTACCCGTTCAATAAAGTTTCTTCCTGGCATCATAATACATTAGGATATACCCCATTAAAAGGGCATCATTCCTGATGATATATTCTTATTTTTACCCTATAATGATACATTTGATATCATGTGGACAAGCATCACCTACATGGAGTTTTCCTACTCTGTGTTTAACAGCAGAGTATTCCTTCCTTCTATGGCTTCCTCAGTTTGTCATATCTATTCATGAAAGAGCAAACATTTCCCTTATACGATTCCCTGCCATAATATTTCTTAACTGAATATCTAACGTAGAATTCTGTAGATAACTCTCTGCACTAAAATAGGGCGCATATCTGACCTTTTCTGTTTGAAGAAACTGTAGAGTGGAATCTAAACAACAACCACCAAACTTATAGATACAGAGAACAGATTGATGTTGCCAGAGATAGAGAGTAGGATGGGCAAATGGATGAAGGGAGACAAAAGTTACAAACTTCTAGTTATAAAATAAGTCCTGGGTATGTAATGTGTAGCATGGTGACTATAGTTAATAATACAATGTTGTCTATTTGAAAGTTGCCAAGAAAATAGATCTTAAAAATTCTTATCACAAGAAAAAAATTCTCTAACTATCTGTGGTGATATATGTTAATTGGACTTATTGTGGTGCTCATGTCAAAACATATACAAATATTAAATCATGTTGTACACCTGAAAATAATATAATGTTAATTGTCTATTGTATCTTGACTAAAAAAATAGAAAAATTATTCTGTTTTGCTCTTTTGATATTCTGTAGAAACAGCTAGATGAGACCCAGTAGTGACTGAACCCAGGAGACATACATCTAAGCTAATGTGCCCACAAATCCCCCAGGCATTTTTTAACGCATCTTATAAGGTGCACATTCTGACTTAGTAGGCTTGATGTGGGGTCTGAGAGCCCCATGCAGCTAGTCTGTGAAACACCTTTTGAGTAGCAAGGCTTTCAGTGATAATTGAAGAACAGAGACTCTAATTTTCATAGATCCCTGTATTTAGTTAAGTCATAGATAGTATTGGGTATATTATAATTTATAGTAAACTCCCATGAACCTCATCTTATTTAGTCCTCACAGTAGATCTTGGAAGAGTATATATTACTATCTAGTGTTTGCATTTAGGGAAACTAAGTAAATCTCTAAGATGTTAAGTGTCCTTACCAAGAATAATTGCCAGTAGGTAAAGCCACAATTTGAATTAAAGAATTTTGAATCTAAATCATTAGTATTTTCCATTACACCCTAAATTCTTAACCCATTTCTCGAAATTATGATGTTTCTCAAGTACTAATGAAAAAACACAAAATGTGCTAGGAAATGTTTTCCTTTCTAAACGGAATTTTAAAATAGATATGAAAGAGGAAAATAAAGGTATCGCTTGCATTTTGCCTATATGGAAACAGTGTACCATACCCCAGAGCACCAGGAAATTGTAGATGAAACTATGTGATACATAAACTCCTGATATCCCATGTGTTCTTTGATTCATGGACAGCAGTAACCGATGAAATGCAGCATTTTCTATTCCCTGTTTCAATCTATGAGTCCCCAGTAGGGTCCATACATTATGACTTAAATGTCTTATGGTCCATTGGGAACATTTTATATGGCACTGCCCCTCACCTTCTTCAGGTCCTCATAGAAGAGGTAGACAATGCGGTGTTGATCTTTGGCTTTCCACCATCCTTTCACATGGTCATGCCATGATCCCCAACACACTGCAAGGAGGGATGAAAAACAGGGTAATGAATCACAGAAACCCAACAAACAAATATTCCACTGAAAGGAGATTTCCTAAAGAGAGGGAGAGTATCATACTGATGATTTCTTCACAGTAAAGCAGGCAGAGGCCCAGATATTCTAAGGAAATGATTTTTTCTTTTTAGAGTGTTTGAGAATTTTGAGACAGAAAAGAAACAAACTGAATTCTCTTACCTTTCCCAGCCAGAAAACTCTCAAAATACTCTTCCCAGGTTCCTGGAGCAGGAAGAGCTTTATTCATTCTTTGGAAATGGTAATAAGACACCATATTGTCCTTTGGATTTCTTGCTACATAGATTATCTAGGAAAGTAGCAAAAATAGGATTAGACTTATATTTGGTTATTGTTCATACAAATTATGTTCAAGTGGGTACATTCCATACAGATGAGATTTTCTGATGCTGCATTCTTATGATTTTGACTTTTGTGGGACTTGAAAAAGACTCAAATCAATTTGCATATTGATTATTGTGAAGAGATGGACTCTTTCTTCTTTAACAAGTGAAGTGTCTTAAGAGGAAATTAAAGACCACTCTAGGGTTGTTTTAAGGAGTAAATTGTAAATTCCTTTTGGTTTTTACCTTACAGTTTTTCTCTAGGAAGGATGGTGGCAGCAATTGGATGGGAAGATGTGTTTTCAGGGTCCGTGGTGAGGGCATTTGCTTAGCTTGTTCCAAACCTGCAAAATTGATTTTTGATCACTCACCACCATTTTTTTTTCTATTTGCTTCAACATCTTACTGCTTCCATTATTACTACTTTAGGAACAGTTGAACAATTCAAGGCAACTATGAGAGCACTGTAACAGTAGATCTCATATGAGATAATATGTGTAGCTTATGAATGATTTTTTATTTATTTTTTATTTTTTTTTAATTTTTTTTTTCAACGTTTATTTATTTTTGGGACAGAGAGAGACAGAGCATGAACGGGGGAGGGGCAGAGAGAGAGGGAGACACAGAATCGGAAACAGGCTCCAGGCTCCGAGCCATCAGCCCAGAGCCCGACGCGGGGCTCGAACTCACGGACCGTGAGATCTTGACCTGGCTGAAGTCGGATGCTTAACCGACTGCGCCACCCAGGCGCCCCATGAATGATTTTTTCAAGCTAAAACAGTCTTTAGCCATAACAAACAAGAAACCAAACAAATAAGAACCTAAAAGATTCAAACCCTTCCATGATGAAATTATGTCACTTGGGCTCAACTTTGTGGAATACAATTAATTTCTAATGGAGAATAAAAACTTGTGTATAATCAGTAACTCCATTAGAAAATGTCTGGAGTTTAGCAACGGCCAGACACAGTTAAAAAAATACAGTCACATAATTCATTAGTAATGCTTGAATGCCTAGAATTTAATTTTTTTCTAGTTTTTCAAAGTGGTTGTATTAATTCTTATGTCTTTTCTATGATTTTTTTTTTTCAGCTTGAATGCCTGTGAATGTGATAGTAAAAAATCCTAAGTGTATATTTAGGATCATAGTCAAGTGTTGCTATTCCATACTCACCAGATCTCATGGATGGGACTATCCATTCGATGAAAGGAAATCGTATGTAAGTAGGTGCTCGTTGACTTTTGTCAACATCACCTTCATTTTGTATTAAGTCCACTATCTCCTGAGTCCATGTTGTTCCTTATTCCACATGTAAGATGAAGATGCACAGACATTTAGCATACTACATTTCTTAAAGATTTTTTTACATTTATTTATTTTTGAGAGACAGGGAGAGACAGAACACAAGTAGGGGAAGGGCAGTGAGAGGGAGACACAGGATCTGAAGCAGGATCCAGGCTCTGAACTGTCAGCACAGAGCCCGATGTGGGGTTCGAACTCACAAACTGGGCTGGATATTGATCATTGGTACTTAGTATCCATTTTCACCCATTTCTTAATTTTCCCCTTATCTCAGGGACTGAAATGCTAAAAAGTGCATTATCTAGACTTCTTTGCCACTAAGATTCTGAATATTATTTAGATTCCCCTGATGAAATGCATTGAAACGTTGAAGAGAGATAGAGGTCATTCTTCCCGAAAGGTAGCTTCAACAGATAGAAATTTTGCAGAGGCCATACCACATTTTGCTGCCCAGTGTCTCAAATGCAAGAAGCCACTGGAAGAAGGGCCCTTTGTCTCCCAGGCCCAGTTAGTTTCTGTGTGCTGTCTGATTCTGACTGATACAGTGCCTACCAACTAAATCTTCGTCCTTTGATGAAGAGCTGTTGTACTAGACATTCTGACAAATCCATGTCAGGAAGATGAACAATTTGAGAATGGTTCTCTGAATCCTGAATCTGGGCTAATCTTCCTATTTTCTCTGAAATCAGATCTCATTATAGACTCCTTTCCTCATACTGTCAATTTAGTGCTTTTAGCTCTACAGGAAGGGCATAGGTTAGGAAACAATGAAAAAAATGAAAAAAATTACATTTTATATCGTAGATGAGTTGGTCTCTAATATTTTCTGGCACCAACTCTTTTATTACAGGATAAAAGAACAATATTTCTTCAGCTATCTAGTCAAAGAAAGTTAGAGCTATTTGTACTGGTTTTAGGTGGTCACTCTGAATTTATAGCCATGGGCCAGCTAAAAATGGGGCAGGTTCACATGTTGCTAGGGGTTTGGAGATGAGTGGAATTTCTCAATACATCCTCTAGAGGTCAGTGATTTTATAATATATTTTTTCTCTTGGCTCATTCACAGAGTATTTATTACTCTTTTAAAAATTTAGGTAAGCCATATTTTTCATCCATGCTTGTTCATTCTTCCCTCCAATAAATTTAGCCTTTATTAATGGATAAGGTTTTAGTGATGATTAAATATTACATTAGCTGGCAAGCATATTATTTATTTAGTGTGTTATTTGGATTGTTGAAGCCCCATTAATCCTAACCCATGAAAACCTTAAATAAACCAAATCTTGCTGCTCACATTTGGGAGGCGGAGAAAGATTAACTATTAAACATTATGCTGAAATGATGATCAAGTAGAGTTGTGGACAAAATTAAGACTATGACATGTGATTCTTACCAGTGAATTCTTTTACATTCACAAACTTAGGAAAGTTTAATCCTGAACAGGCTCACGATGAGTAAGATTAGAAAATTAGGAGTCTAAGGCTCTCATCTGCTGGTAGTCTTTTATTAGGATCATTAGATATAAAGACTCAAGAGAGGTTTGAACATAAAATCTCAGAAAATGCTTAGGTTTAGATTTTTTGGTGTGTGTGTGTGTGTGTGTGTGCATGTGTGTGTGTGAAAGAGGGGTTATTGACAGGTAACTTGATTTTTAAAGAGCAAATGTACATGCAATCTGGCTGTGAATTAAATAGTGTATTTTTACTATGTATGTAATATGCACAAAAATCTGTAGAGAACTATTTCTCCCTGCTCATCCTAAAATTTTTATGATACAGTGGCTGGGCTCAAGTATTCTTACTTTTATAGCAACTTCTGTTAAACTAATTACTGAAACAAGGAAGTAGGTTCACAACATGCCATGATGGAAGATGGAAATCAAAACAGTAGTTCTCAGACCCTGAACTGAGAGAATTTTGAGGGCTTCTGGGGGCTGCTGAGGTGAAATCAGCATTGCAGGACCAAAGCTCCCATAACTCTTCCCCAAATTAGCCTTGGGATCCCCTTTTTTAGTTTACACACACAAAGAAGTTTTTTTGTTTTGTTTTGTTTTTTTCTTTTTTTTAACAGGATCTGCAGTAAAGGCCTGCATTGGGAACAAACAAATCAATAAATCTAGCCCTTTAGTTCTCAGCTCTTTCATTCACTCTTTACTGGGGAAGTAAAAAAAATGTACATCAGGGGCACCTGGGTGGCTCAGTGGGTTAAGTGTCTGACTTTGGCTTAGGTCATGATTTCGTCATTCGTGAGTTTGAGCCCCACATCAGGCTCTGTGCTGACAGCACAGAGCCTGGAGCCTGCTTCAGATTCTGTGTCTTCCTCTCTTTCTGCGCCTCCCCTGCTCACACTCAGTCTCTGTCTCACTCTCAAAAAAAAAAAAAAAAATTAAAAAAATATGTACATCATAGGAAGAATTAAATTCTTAAAATTTGTACATCATTTTAATATTTTTTTCTGTAGTTTCAGTTTCCACAAGATATATATCTTAGCCATATCACTCCGTCCAGTAAACAATTTCCCACTCCTTTATTTCATTATTAATGTACTTTCCCCACTTACCTTCCTAACTCTCTTCTTCACCTTTCCCTCTCCCCTACCCCCTACCTGCTTTAGGATAGGTGGCAATAAGCAGATCATCAGACTTGGCTTGGAAGTTCCAGATCTGGTCCCAGATGTTACAGGTAGGTATGGGTTGCATTATCCCCTTCACATAGTCGACAGGTATGCGCTCTTTTCCATCAAATTTAAAATCCTCCATTTTACTCAAGGCCATTAGTATCAGAAATCAGAGTAATGTACCAGATAAAATGTTACTGCTCAGACAGCACAAAGCTGCATTCTTGTTATTGTACAGGCAATGCAAGACTCAGACTGCAAGTTCTACCTGGACAACCTGGGGATGGTTGGCAATTAATGTGCAAACCAGCTACAGGCCTGCTAGCCCCAGTTCCAGGAAACAGGGCACTACTGTTTAGGCCTTTGTACGCAGGCCTTTTCTTAATGAGCTCCAGCCCTCCTCCCATCCAGGCTCTGACGTAATGCCAGAGGCCCTCCCAGATCCTGGCTGCTGTGTCATGTTCAAGTTCAGTCCTGTTCTTCTGTGTCAGTTTAACAAGAGTTAGTGCCATGTTGTTTATGTTTCTCTTATTTGTGTTCATAAAATAATTCACATTCATTTGTTGTCTCTTCTGTGAATGTTAAGCTAATTAAAAAGTTGCAGGAAATTTGCTCACAGAACGGAGGTAGCGAATGGAGGTAGCAACATAGAATAACTTCCCTGAAAGGCTGAAGGGAAATTTCTGTGGGCTGTTGGCAAGAAGGTCCTAGATTTGCATCTCCCAGCACAAATACCTGGAAGGGTCAGTGTTGTTATTTTTAAGAGTAAAATAAAATATGCTCTATTAGAAAAGGTTCTCTTCATTTTGTAGGCTATACAGTGTTAGTATCAGAATATGCACGTCTCATTTAAAGCAAAAGAGATGCAGAAAACTCCTTGCTTTTTCCTTGGAACCATTTCTGGTTCCTTCTTGGGTTTTCTCCTCCTGTTTCAACCATAACCTCTTTTCACCTCTAAAACAAGGCCAGATACCTTTTAGTTTTTAACTGCTAAATATTACAGGACATCCACTTAATTTTCCTGTCTCTTGTGATATAATAAAGAATATATAGGGGAGCCTGGGTGGCTCAGTTGGTTAAGCGTCTGACTTCAGCTCAGGTCACGATCTCGCGGTCCGTGAGTTCGAGCCC